CGGAATCGATGATCCCTGTAATGTCTCCTGTATTGTCCATGTTGGATCCAATCCAAACCGGTGGAATTCTGATTAATTCTGGTTTCATGGATCATCCATTGCGTTCGACCCCGTTAGGCCCACCACCACCACTACCACCACCACCAACAACAACAATCGGACAATCGGTGACAACAACCATGTCCACACCGGTACCACTGCCGCCGCCACCACCACCACCACCACCACCAATAGTGACACAATCCACTCCGGATGAACATGCTACCGCATTCGAACCCTATTTGTCCATGGGTACCAGGGGTCTGGTACGTAACTGGTTCGAATTAGTGGGAAAATATGGTGAGTTCAGCTATGGTGGAGAAAATACTACAACATTATTATTATTATTATTAATGGTCCATTTATTTGATTTTTATATCATATACATCGAAAAATGTACAAAAACAAACCGGTTTCAATTTTAGAGTCGTAAATCATCAAGGTTGTCTTAGACAAAGCTTAGAAAAGCTGTGCGATTTAGAGTACGCTGTTGACCTCGTTTGTCAGTTCGATTGTATGGAGAATACGCAAAGCGCTCTTGACAGACTTTCAAGTTCTGTCGCTTTGTTTGATATGCGTTTATCACCTTCAAAGTGCAAAATGAGACTACAAGATTGGGTGTCATCTACCCTGGCACTGGTGCTTGATGATCAAAGATTAGTTATAGTGGGATATTTTTCCTACTTAGGTAGTTGCGTGACGAATGACGGTATTGTAGTCAATGAGGTGACCTCCCGTATTTCCAAGGTTCGAGCAGTTTAGAAAGGACTGTAACATTTTTGGTGCAGACGCGATGTTTCGTTCAAACTGAAAGGTCGTTGTTTCTACTGTCCCATTGTGTGATTAGTTCGGCTCTATGGTTGCAAGAAGTCTAGAAGTCTTCGACTGCTGATGTTTACGTAGTTTGGCGCGGGTTGGATGAAACGAGTGTGTAAACAATTCTGAGATATCTGGCATGCTTTACTGAAAAATTCGTTGTTCCATCGAATTCGGATTAGTCGGCTTCGCTGATTAGGACACGTATTGCGCATGCTTAGCCATCGACTACTGCACCGCGTCTTATTCTCAGTCACAGCTTCAGGTTGAAAGAAACCGCGTAGAGGTCAACAAATGACGTGGAAACGAGGCATGAAGAAATGCACAGGTTGGAGTCCGAAAGACTCTGTAACTGGCGGATTGGATACACTGAAGGATATGGCAGCGAACCG